ATTTCATAGCATACTCACCATATCACATACCCTCCCCAATGTCCATAACCCAACCACCCTCTCCATACCTGCCCTCCCCCCAGCAACCCTCAGTTTATTTTGTGAGATTAAGAGTCTCTTATGGTGGGCACCTGGGTGGCTCAGTGGCTTAAGCCTCTGCCTTCAGCTCAGGTCATGATCTCAGGGTCCTGGGATCGAGGCCCGCATTGGGCTCTCTGCTCAGCAAGGAGCCTGCTTCCTCCTCTCTCTCTGCCTGCCTCTCTGCCTGCCTCTCTGCCTACTTGTGATATCTCTCTCTCTCTCTGTCAAATAAATAAAATAAAATCTTTAAAAAAAAAAAAAGAGTCTCTTATGGTTTGTCTCTCTCCTGACCCCACCTTGTTTCATTTTTTCCTTCCTTATCCCCCAAATCCCCTATCCTGCCTCTCAACTTCCTCATATCAGGGAGATCATATGATAATTGTCTTTCTCTGATTGACTTATTTCGCTCAGCATAATACCCTTCAGTTCCATCCACGTTGTTACAAATGACAAGATTTCATTTCTTTTGATGGCTGCATAGTATTCTGTTGATGGACATCTAGTTTCTTTCCATAGTTTGGCTATTGTGGACATTGCTGCTATAAACGTTTGGGTGCACATGCCCCTTTGGATCACTACATTTGTATCTTAGGGTAAATACCCAGTAGTGTTATTGCTGGGTCAGAGGGTAGCTCTATTTTCAACTTTTTGAGGAACCTCCTTACTGTTTTCCAAAGTGGCTGCACCAGCTTGCATTCCCACCAACAGTGTAGGAGGGTTCCCCTTTCTCTGCATCCTCACCAGCATCTGTCATTTCCTGACTTGTTAATTTTAGTCACTCTGACTGGTGTGAGGTGGTATCGCATTGTGGTTTTGATTTGTATTTCCCTGATGCCGAGTGATGTGGAGCACTTTTTCATGTGTCTGTTGGACATCTAGATGTCTTCTTTGCAGAAATGTCTGTTCAGGTCCTCTGCCCATTTCTTGATTATTTATTCTTTGGGTGTTGAGTTTGATAAGTTCTTTATAGATCTTGGATACTAGCCCTTTATCTGATTGTCATTTGTGAATATCTTCTCCCATTCTGTCAGTTGTCTTTTGGTTTTGTTGTCTGTTTCCTTTGCTGTGCAAAAACTTTGGATCTTGATGAAGTCTGAGTAGTTCATTTTTGCCCTTGCTTCCCTTGCTTTTGGCGATGTTTCTAGAAGAAGTTGCTGTGGCTGAGCTTAAAGAGGTTGCTGCCTGTGTTCTCCGGGATTCCTTTCTCACATTGAGGTTTTTCATCCATGTTGAGTCTATTTTTATGTGTGGTGTAAGGAAATGTTTCATTCTTCTGCATGTGGCTGTCCAATTTTCCCAACACTATTTGTTGAAGAGACTGTCTTTTTTCCACTGGACATTCTATCCTGCTTTGTCGAAGATTAGTTGACCATAGAGTTGAGGGTCTATTTCTGGGCTCTCTATTCTGTTTCATTGATCTCTGTGTCTGTTTTTGTGCCAGTACCATACTGTCTTGATGATGACAGCTTTGTAATAGAGCTTGAAGTCCAGAATTGTGATGCCACCAACTTTGAAGAAAGTCAGCTATGTCTTAAACTCTTGAAAGTAGTGACTTTATGAAGAAGATGACTTTGAGTGCTCTACAGTGCATTGTGTCCCTGTTCACTTCAGGAGAGTAGCCAACGTGTGTTGCTGTGTGTGTAGCCTGTTGTTCTGTCTGAGTTACTTTTCCTTTCAGCATGGTTGTCTGCACGGACTCTGCCCACTGTGGGCTGTGTTTGTTCTCTGTGGTGTTAGTGGGACCTAGGCAAGGTAGGCATGCCTGTCAGGGAACTTGAGAGCAGGTGGTGGTGTTAGCAAAATTTGCACTGGGTCGCTAGTCCTCTGCCAGATTCCCTGAAGTGCTGCGGTAGCTGGGGGGTGTGAACTGGTGCTTCTGGGGGCACGAGGCTGGGTGCAGCCTGTGGAGGCCTCCATGCACCTGCTGGCCGGGTGTGGTGCACCGCAGTAGTTGGGTGCTTCAAGGTGGCTGGGTGCTGCACTTTTTTGTTGTATTTTATGTGTTGTTTTAGTTTCCTATCGCTAGTTTAATAAATAAGTGCAAATTCAGTGGCTCAAAACAACATGAATTTATTATACTTCTAGAGGTCAGAAATCTGAAACAGTTCTACCGTGTTAAAACTACAGACCTGTGTTCATTCTGGAGGCTGGAGAAGAGAATCCATTTCTTTGTCCTTTCCAGTTTCTAGATCTCACCTACATTCTTTGTCTTGTGGCCCCATCCTCCATTTTTTGAAGCTCCTTGGCTTAACTGCTTCTTTTGTCCTTAAATCACTCTCTAACTCTGATCTTTTTCTCTCTCTCTTATAAGGACTATGTTAGGTTCATCTAGATAATTCCAATAATCTCCCTATATCATAATCACATCACATTGTGAATTCTTTCTGTCATGTAAGGTAACATGGTCACAGATGGATGTGGACATTTTGGGAGGGGTGTTTTCAGCCTACCATACTTGTTCTTGCAGCTACATCAAAAACTACTAGTTTTTCTATTTTCTTATATTCAGATATGCTTTGCCAAAGTCCCGTTATTTGTACTTGTTTTAAGATTGTTTTCAAACTCCTTCATATTTGTTTTTCAGTGGATTCTGTTAGCATTACTGGCATCATTTGTTCCCTTTCTTCCTAGTATTTATAGCTCATTTTGTTCTTGCCTCTTTCCATGTTGTCTAGAATCTTCTAGCTAATGCTAAATAAATAGCTATGAGAACATGCATCCTTGTATTGTTCTTAACTTTACTAGAAACTGCCTCATTGTTTTACTACCCAGGATGGTGCCTTCTGATAAAACACTCTTTTAAGTTAAGACATTTCTATCCAGTTAAATCCCGACTAAGATTTTTAGTCAAGAATCTATACTAAATGTATTAACCATTACACTTGTAAGAGTAACCATATGGCTTTTCCCTTTTAATCTATTAATAACTTTTCTAATAATATTCCTGGAATAAATCTTCCTTGGTCACAGGGTATTGTTCTTTGAATGTACTGCTGACTTCTATCTGCTAATATTTTATTTTAGATTTTTGCATTTATGTTAATAATTGAGTTTGACATAGTGTGTTTCATAATTGCTTGTGCCATCGTTGTGCAGTTTTGGCATTGTTGAGGGTTATCTAGTCATCATGAATAAATTGGAAAGCCTTCCACCTTTTTTGGTGGTCTGGAACTGTTTAGTTAATTAATTTTCCATTGCCCATCCCCTGGAACTGTTTAAGTAGTATTGAGGTTTTTGTTTTTTGTTTTTGTTGTTTTTTTTTAAAGATTTTATTTATTTATTTATTTGAGAGATAGAGCACGCACGTGTGCACACGAGGGAGAGAAAGAGAGAGCACAAGTGCGTGAGAGTGCATTTGCAGGGGGAGGGGCAGAGAGAGAGGGAGAAGCAGACTTCCTGCTGAGCAGGGATCCTGGCACAGGGCTCCATACCAGGACCCCAGTATCATGACCTGAGCTGAAGCTAATGCTTAACTGACTGAGCCACCCAGGTGCCCCAAGATTATTGGTTTTGAAAGTTTCATAAACATTTATACCCAATGGTGACATTGCGTTATTTTGAATCACATGTACTTTCTTACCTACTCTGTCTTACAGCATTTGAAGTACAACTTGTGACCTGTGGAACAGGTTTCCTCTGGGCAAATCTGTCCAGTCCATAAAGAAGGGGCACATCTACCAACATGGCTTCATTCATAGAAACCTGTCAGGCCAGGGGCTTACACAATAAAGGCTTGGCTCCCATTAGACTTCTTTCCTCATGTGCATTGGGAGTTGTATTTATTATTTATTAATCATTGCAGTGTTGCTATGAAAATTCTTTTTTTTTTAAGATTATTTATTTGAGAGAGAGAAAACTTGAGTGGGGGGAGGAGCAGAGGGAGAGAATCTCCCCACTCAGTGGGGAGTCTGATGTGGGGCTCGATCTTATGACCCTGAGATCATGACCTGAGCCAAAACCAAGAGTTGGATGCTCAATTGACTGAGCCCCTTCAGGCTCCCCTGCTCTGAAGCTTCTTAGCAAATCTTTTTTAGTTCTTCAAAGAGCACTTCTCAATTCTCTACTCAAGTGTTGCTCCCAGCTCAGAATTCGAAATTGGTACTTATTTATATAAATGAGGTTGTCCAAGGCTGTGTTGCAGTTTTAGGCTAGTAAACCAGGGTGCTGGATTTAAGTAATTTTTTTTAAGATTTTATTTATTTATTTGACAGACAGAGATCACAAGTAGGCAGAGAGTCAGGCAGAGGGAGAGGAGGAAGCAGGCTCCCTGCTGAGCAGAAAGCCCGATACAGGGCTTGATCCCAGGACCCTGGGACCATGACCTGAGCCGAAGGCAGAGGCCTTAACCCACTGAGCCACCCAGGCACCCCTTAGGCACCCCTTAAGTAATTTTTAAGAGGGATCCTCTGATTGGGTATCCTTTGATTTTAAATCTTTTCTCAGGACTGAGTTTACATAAATATAAAAGTGCTGCGACCACTCATTTCTAAATTAAAATACTGCTGAAATCATCCTATGTATATGATTTGATTAAAAGGTAGTATTTTGCTGGGGGGTGCCTGGTTGGCACAGTTGGTTAAGCGTCCAACTCTTGGTTTTTGGCTCAGGTCGTAATCTCAAGGTTTTGGGATCGAGCCCTTCTTTGGGCTCCACACTCAGTGTGGAGTCTACTTAAAAAGATTCTTTTGCCCTTTCTCTCTGCACCCCCCCCCAATGCTCTTTCTCTCTCTCTCTCTCAAATAAATAAATAAGTCTTTAAAAAAAGATAGTAATTTTTAAAAGATTTTATTTTTTAAATAATCCCTACACCCAGCATTTGGCTCTGACTCACAACCCCAAAATCAAGAGTTGCGTGCGCTGTGGAAGGTAGTATTTTTGTATCGAGTGTAAGTTGATTTCTCATTCTTTCCCCCCTGCAGTAAAACAGATCATCGGTAACGTTTCAGTATTTAACGAAACCTGCTTGAGATGGAGAAGTACGAAGACCGCTGATACAGAGGAGATGTATTTAGTAAGTGACTGAACGTTACTCTATGTGTAGATGTTGTCTAGTGTAGGAGGTTTAAAAAAATATCAGCAAACCTAAAAATCTACTTATATATAGTTGTTATTATCAATGGCAGATTTATGGTAAGAATTGTGAGCCAAAGCAAGAAAATGGGCACTTCTACTACGTATTTAAAGAATGAGACCTTGGGGATTGCTGAGTAAGATGTGAGAGTTTCTTTGTCCATGTGGCGTGATGTGCACGAACGAATGTCCACCCAGTGTCTGTGGAAGGAACTTGTGGCTTTTGCCTGGGTGTGCCTCTTCAGGCCAGTGTCTCTGACCAGGGTCTGGGCATGTTGTCTAGAGAGTCAGGGGAACTTTCGAAGCTATTGTTGTTGTGAGTAAGAAAGGTGGAAACCATGGGATGAGCTGCTGCTAGAAGAAATTAAGTGGGCAGAGAAGTATCTCTATTGGGCCAGGTGCTGGGGGGTTACAGGAGCGTGTGGAGAATGTCAGAAGGGGGCAGGCACATCTGTGTAGTTCATGTGCATTTTAACTTTTAAAAATATGTATTGCTTTATATGAAGCATTAAGTGCTGCTTCGTCTATAAATAGCTCCATTTTGATGCAGTTTGGTACCACATTAAGCTGTCGAAAGTTGCTTCTGATCCTGAAGACACTGTTGCTTGCCTGGGTCCAGGTCAGGTGTTGTAAAATGAATAGTGAAATTGGAAGGCGTGTGGCCGTCAAATGGCAAATACTCTGTTCCCAAAATAAAAAATGTGTTGTTCAAAAAAATCCCCGAAACACGAAGGGGGCAGGCAGAGGAGCACAACCCTGCCGGGCTTTCGCCAGGCCAGATAGGCGTACCCTCACTCAGGTCGTGCTTTGGAGAAGCCTTAGTTCAGATTCCACATTTTCTTCCTAGGAGAATGTTCTGTGGCCTTGCCCCTGCCAACAGACTTCTCCGTGTTGTGTGTGGTACATGTGAGAACCAAGAACGGGAACACAGTTAGCACTGGGGCCTCGGCCTTTTGTACATTTTGATTTCAAAATATTTTTATTGTACTCACCTATTGTAATGGCGGTGTTTCGGGGGTGACGCCTGAGAGATCGGCTTAGTGTTCTGTTTCACTTTCTGAAGGAACTTTGGAGTCGAAGGCACAATGGCTCTTGAAAAAGGGTAAGCACCCAGGCATTTGGAGCCTTCCAAACTCACCATTCACCTAGTGAACCTCTCTGTTTCAGTTCCACATTCGGGGCCAGAGATGGTATCAGAAGAAATTTGCCCAGGAAATGACCTTGAATATGACTGCCCGCAGCCAGGCTCCTGAGATGTGCTTGGACCTGCGTCCAGGCACCAATTACAGCATCAGCATCCAGGCTTGGTCTTCTCAACTTCCCGCGGTCCTCCCCCTGACAACCCACATAGCAGGTAAATCGGGCATGGCAGCATTCGGATGAATGAAGTCACCACAGAGCTGTAGGTGGGCCCGGAGGAAGAGGAACCCTATTGCTTCCCACTGTTGTAGCACACACCTGAAGAGTGAGGGGATGAAAGAAAGGGTCCTGTGGTCGTGCCTGTCATGTTTTCTTTCTTAGAAAGGTAGTCAAGACAAAATACTAACGCGAGTTAAATCTGGCTAGCGTGTATGTGAATGCTGGTTACATTCCTTCGGGATATTTAAAATAGTTAACATACTCGAGACCTAAAAAGAATTTTTCCTCATGACTGCTTCTCAGTTATGTGTAATCGTCATTTTGTCGTGAGTGCCTCAGGAGTCCGTTATTCTCAGGGAACAGTGCTTGGCAGCCCCACTTGGGTCCCCTCTAAATTTCACTTTTCACTCATTTTCTCATTGTCGCTCCTCAAATCTGGGGTGCTCCCCCTGCCACTTCCCCCACACTCTGTGCTGAAACGCAGAGTATTAGCTTCTTGTTTCTGACTTCACGGAGCATTTGGAAGTAATCAGGTGGGGACGTGATCCTTCTTTCAGCATCCCCTTTACAGTAAAACTTCTTAAAAGAAGTGTCTGTTCTGTAGGTCCCACATCCTGACTTCCTGTTTTCCCTTTAACTGGTTCCAATCTGAAGGCAGTTGTCCCGTCCACACTGCTTTACTGAAAGTGTCTCCATCTTACAAAATCCACGGGACCGTTTTGTTTGTATCTGATTCCCCTCCCCTGTCCCCAGCATCTGACATCTTCTCATTCTTGAAACACTCTTGGCTTTGGGGTCCCCCTGCCTTGCTGGCTCCTCCTTCTCAGTCTTTCTTGCTGGCTCTATCCTCTTTAATCGACGTCCTCTCTGCCTGCTTCTGTTCCTTTTTCATTATCTACCCCTTCTGCCCATACGTTTCCTGGCTATTGCCATATGCTGAAGATTCCCCAGTATGTATCCTAGTCCCAGACTCTCCCCTGAGTGCCACATTCATATATCCAGTCACCTTTTAAACATCTCTGAGTCATCTCTTGCACGCCCAATAGACAAGTCCAGGAGGATTCTGATTTCTCAACTCCTCTCACCTCCATGAGCCATTTTCCAGCCAGGCTTCTCTGTCTTGGGTTATTGGCATTCCTATTCACTTGTTGCTCAGGCCAAAAGATTCTACCCCTCCCCACTGACTTCAAAAGATTCTACCCCTCCCCACTGACTTCAAAAGATTCTACCCCTCCCCACTGACTTCTGATCTGTCAATAAGCACCACTGACTTCTTTCTAAAATATATTCTGTATCCAAATACTTCTTTCCCCCTTCCCCTTCCCCACAGAGCAACCTTATCCAAGCCAGCCACCTCTTGCTTGGACCTTTGCAGTAGTCTTTCTGCTTTCATGGGTGCCCATTAGTCTCCCCCTCTCCCCAACCAAGGTATGGTGAAGACAATAACTCAGGAGTCAGAGTGATTTAAAAAAAAAAAAAAAAAAGAATGCCTAGGAGAACATGTCATCCCCAGCTGAAGACTGTCCAATGAGTTTGCATTAGTGTTAGAATAGATCTTAGGTTCCTGACCCCCACCCGCCTCACTGACTTCATCTCCTCTACTCTTCCCCCTTTCTCACTAAGCATCTGCTGCCTTCCTGCCCTCCTTGATGTTCCTTAGATGGGTCAAACCTGTTCGTGCATCCACGCCTTTCCATCTACTGTTTACTCTTCCTGGGGTGCTCTCTGCTTGTGGCTTCTTTATAACCAACCATCCAGGTCTCTGCTCAGATGTCATTACCTTAGAGTGGCTCTCCCTGCCTGTCCTTGCTCCAGTAACCTCCATCTCCACCCCATCCCTCTCTAGCCACGGGTCCTGTTTGAGATTCATCACAGAACTTGTTGTTGGAACTTGCATTTTTTAATGTAGTTGTTTATTTTCTTTCTCTCTTCCTAAAATGGCTCCTCAGAGGCAGAGATGTAAAGACAGTGCTGGCACGTAGTGCAAGCCCTGAGTGGCCACTGGGTGCTGTTGGTGCTGAGGGGATGCCTGGTTAGTGAAGAAAGGCTTTCAAACAAAAGGAATTCCCAACACTGGGGCTGGAAAGAGAAGTAATATTCGGCTGGGCATTCCTTCTTCTGGTGACTTCTTCAAATGAAAAGCTGTTTAGTTTCCTGTTCTTTGGTCCTTGTTGTGTTTTGGATGGTTTGCTGTTTCAAATTAGTATATCAGGTTTTTTGAGTTGGGGAGGAGAGTTTCTTCTGAGAACACACTTAACCTCTACCTTGTTTCCTAGGCGCAGTATAGTCCCAGTAGCGCAAACGCCCTGTGCCCATGGCCACCAGGGGACACTGTTGAGCTATTTAAGTCTGTTGAGACCCTTAGCTAAACTCGGAGACAACGCCTGCATATTTTTCAACTCTACACTACTTTAAAGAATTTGAAATTTTTTAAAAAGTGCGAAAATTCAAGTTGTTATCTTCTAAAGGGTAAAAACCAACCAACCAACCAACCAACCAACCAAAAAAACCCACCCAAGCCCTCTCATAAAAGGGGAGAAAAGAGAGCCTTTCTTGTTGATATGAAGAGAGGTATGCCTGATTGCCTAAGATATGGCTTGGTTTCAGTAAAACTGTGAACTTTTGAATTTTACCAGAAATGTGAGGCAAGGGATTTGGGTTTGGAAAACGCAGCAGCTGATTTCCCAGAAGAAAAGTGAGTGGAATTTCCCTCCTGCATGTCTTATATTAAACTAAATCTTACTGATGGGAACAGGATGAAGATAAGTGCTTTAAATACGTGGCTGACCTCAGAGGAGGGCACAGGTTCTAGGCATGTTGAAGGACAGAGGCAAGTGTCCCAGTGAGAATGGGGTCAGAGGCGTGGGTGAGACCAGATCCTCTGGCAGAGTCTCTGCCTCGGGGGTGACAGGCTTCCTCAGGTAGAGCCCCATGAGCCGAATTCTTCAGAAGAGCCCTACCGTTTATACTCCCTCCAGAGCAGGGTGAAGAGCAAACTTCCACCCTCAGAAGAGCTTTCACACATTGGCTCTGCTATTTTCTGGCCAAGTCAGAAAGCTGTGGGCAAAACTGTCTTCCCATAGGGAGCAAGAGACAACCAGGGAGGGGAAAGTGCATAGAGAGAGAGAGACAAAGCAAATGTGTGCAGAAATGTCAGCTAAACCACTGGGGCACACAACACGGTGATCATTTGAGGTTGAATATTTATTATAGAACCGAGACTGCCAGGGGCGCCTGGTGGCTCAGTGGGTTGAGCGTCTGCCTTCGGCTCAGGTTATGATCCCAGGGTCCTGGCATTGAGTCCCGCATCGGACTCCGTGCTCAGAGGGGCAGTCTGACTCTCCCTCCCCCTCTGCCCCTTGTTCATGCTCTCTCACCTTTGCTCACTCTCTCTCTCGAATAAATAAAATAAAAATAAAGATTAAAAAAAGAGAGAATCAAGAATGCCAAAGGAGAAGAGGGAAGAAAAAAAAAGTCAAGGAAACCAGTCCTTGCTGAGTTTGCCCTCAGTACCAAGCCTGGCAACCTATATGGGAAATTTCCTGTCTCTGCCCGTATTCATGAGAAGGAAAAGAGAAGGTGCTTTTTCAGATGTTCGGCAGAGATGTTCAAAAACATGCACGTGTGTCCCGAGCATTATCAGACTGTCCCCCTCATGGAGACAGCTCCAGTCGGGGGAGCTTCGATTCAGCTTGCAGAACTGGGAACCACAGCCCCTCTTCTGATGGCCCTCCCCCGCCCCTGCTCACTGTTGGGAGCCCCCAGGAAGGACTGTGCGGGACCAAGTCTGCTGCGTTCTTCTGCAGGAGGAGTTCTTCTTTTTCTGTTGTTGGCGACCCACAGCCCATCCAAAGATGGGGCGCTCCTGTGTCCTCTGACAACCCTGTCTGCTTAGGCTGGCTCCGAGATACCACATGTATTCCTGCTGGGCCCCATGGTTCCCAGGGCCTGAAGCTGCGGTAGAGGTCAGGACAGGCCCTGGCCTTGATCCCAGCGCTGTCCCTCTTTGTCCAGACTCTCTCAAAGTCTTTCATGATCATAGGTGTTTTGACATGTGGGTATCCAGTGTTAGATAAGGCCAGAAGAGAGGCACACATGCCCTTCATTACCTCAGTGGGTCACCTATTACTCTCATCCCCAGTGATCTCCTGAAGTACTTTTTAGCTACAAATCAAACCCCAAATCCCCAAGTGAATCTCTGTGTGGGCATGTATCTCCCAGCTCCCTCACTGAAGGCATCTATATCCGGGCCTAGGCCCCGTGAGGACATAGATGATACACCACAGGGGAAAACAGGCTGCACACTGTTATTCTCTTGTATTAGTGTTAGTTTTTACAAAATATGAATGGGAATTTTTTTTTTTTTTTTTACACTGTAACCCTAAAAACCGGAGTTTCTGTGTGTGATAGGACTGTGGGACGGGCATGCTGTGACATAACAATTTAATTCAGCAAATATTTATTGACTCATTATGCACAAAGACCTGTGCAGAATGTGTGCAGAATGTGTGCAGAAATAGCTAAACCACTGGGGCACACATCATGGTGATCATTTGAGGTTGAATATTTATTATAGAATCGAAGGGATATAAAGATGGAAAGAAGATTGTTCCTTCTCCCTGGAAGGCTGAGTCTCATAACTTCATCGGTGGGGGAGATGTGGCCCGCCGTGTGATGGCTGATGACTTATGGTGTGGCCACCATTTTTCCTTCTGCTGTCCATTTCAGCTGCTCAGCTTAGCGTGTGGCATGGTCTGTCTGGGGAGGTGCCAAGGATTAGGAGGTGCCATCACAGTATCTTCATGTGTATTTATTTGTGTGGCTGAATTCCTTACATTTACTTGAAGTTTATAGAAAGTCGGGACTTTTATTAGTTTGGGTGCAGATATAATTTTCTATTTTTGGTTCTCTCTGTTCCTTTTGGTATATTTTAGAGGATTTTAGCACATTTTCATTTATTTCCTTTCTCTTACTGATTTTAATAGTTATTTCCTT